ACATAGTCGAGCAGGTGAGCGTGACCACTCCGTGGGTGCGTCCAAGTTGCTATATCACTCGCACTCAGTGCAAACCGAGTGTTCGTGATTGTCAGGCCGTGAGTGGCACACAGTGAAAGCAGTCTGTCACCGTTCGCATTCGCTGAGCCAATGCCATGCGCACCGATAACATCTGTCCACGCTGATGCATCACGCCCAACGCGCGCGTTGAAATCATCTAGCAGAAATAGTCGGTTGCTCCTCAGCACAGACCGTATCACGGAGGATAGATCAGTGTAGAACTGATCACGCGTGTCATCAGGATAACACATGGTCGGAACGTACGTGCTTATAAAAGTAGCAAACTTACCTCTTCCGAGTCGTAGGCGAACAATCACCAGTCGCGCGCTGATGCCCGTTGGTTCACCCACCAGCTGGCCATTCAGGCGATCGGATATTGCAAATCCGACCCCATGTTCACCTGGTGCTGAGGCGGTGTTGCCCACCCAGTAGAATGTGTAGCCAGCACCTGCTTCATGCAACTTACCTTACTCAGCGATCCGGATTTCACTGAGCGCCGCAATATCGATGTTGTAGCGCGCCAGCTCCATCGCGACCAGCGCAGTGCGTCGCTCTGGGCGCTCGCTGGAGTTCCGGTCCAGTAGTGTGCGCACGTTCCAGCACCCGATGCTGAGTGCTTTGCGCGCAGGCATACGACTGCATTGGTGGGCAATCGCACGCGAGGTGGTCGTTGTGCTTCGGAGGTTTGCTTGAGGGACTCCACCCGGAGCCTTTGACTCAATAGCCTGACCCACAAGGCAGTGGGGCGCAGATCCAGCTCGGGAATGTGATTGCAGAGACAGATTGGGATCTGCTTAACGGCCGTCACACGCAGCCTGGGAGGTACTGGAACGATTTATGTATATTTTACGATCGTATATGATACACCTGCGACCACGGCCAGACGCAGGTGGGTTTTTGCGGGTTTTTGCCCCAATTTGACCAGGGGCTGCCTGGCTTGAGGCGGGCAGTAGCAAACCATTGAACAACCCAGTGGTGACCCTCCCACCGTCGGAGAAAATGCGTGGCACTCGTACTCTAGGCCAATCAAGCTGTGAGTTTAAAACACGTAAACCTGATGTATTCCATGGCTAGTTTTTAAGGGACGTGGGCCATCGACCACTTCCTAACCTCCGCAGAGGGTAGACAAGGATACTGGCAGGGGTCCCACACCTGACAGAGAACGATTCGAGTCTTCAGCCAAAGCCTTCGATTAAATGAACACCCGAAAGGCAGCGGGTCTAGCACATGGTCAGTTACTGACTCATGCGGATTGTGGGTCCTGGATCTTAGCAGGGAGAAGGGCGAAACCCAACTCCCACCCAGCGGTCGCCACGTGGAGGCGCACAGGACATGAGACCTATGGCAGCAACAGTAGCAGCAGTGGGTAGACCATCTGTCAGGATCTAGCCACCACCAGCCTCAGCGCACCATGACATGATTACGAAGCGGAGCTCAAACTCAAGGCCATCAGCCACGCAGTACAACATCGGAATAGAGCAGCTGCCAAACTATTCAACGTTAACGAATCAAAGGTACGGAAGTGGAAGAAGTAAGATGACCTGCGCCAAGTAAAGCCGACAAAGATGAGATTCCGAGGGAACGTAGCATGATGGCCACAGTTAGGGGAAACATTGCGCAGTGGATTATTGCACATAGAACAGCAGGTAGGAGCGTCTGCACAGTCTCCATTCGACTCAAGACAATAGCGATGGCACTTGCATTGAAGCTGAACGACATTCAAGGTGGTCTTTTTTGGTGCTTCCGTTTTATGTAAAGGCTCCATCTCTCCATCCGTACATGAACTGCTGCCTTGAGGCAACTGCCAAAGGATTAGGAAGAAAAGTTGGCCATCTTCCACACTTACTGCAAGAACAAGATCACCGAAAAGAAGATCCAGCCAGACCACATCACAAACATGGACGAGGTGCCTCTCAGCTTTGACACTCCGTGAACCGTTGTGTTGAAAAAACAGGGACGTCTACTGTATGTATACGCACCACAGGGAACGAGAAGTCATCCTTCACTGTAGTTCTCGGTTGCCAGGCTAATGGCCAAAAACTACCACCCATGGAAGACTTTACCAAAAGAATGGTTTCCTGTTGGGGTCATCGTCAAGGTCAACCCAAAAGGCAGGATGGACGAGGAGAAATTGAGCGAGTGGCTGTGAAAAGTTTACGTCAGATCAGATGGCTTTTTCCACACCTCTCCGTCCTTATTGATCTATAACTCCATGTGCGCCCCTCTCACCGAAACTGCCAAACGCCAAGTGAAGAAAACTAATTCGGAGCTTGCCATCATTCCGGGAGGATTACCCAAAGAACTCCAACCGCTAGATATTAGTGTCAACAGGATGCTCAAACTTAAATTGCGAGTCGCGTGGGAGCATTGGATGACCGAATGTGAGCACACATTTACTAAGACAGGAAGGCAACGCCGGGATAGTTATGCTACTATCTGCCAATGGAACGTCGATGCCTGGGTCAAGGTATCGGTCTCAACTTTCCTCCGAGTTTCCACGAAGGCCGGAATCATTAATGAACAACCAAGCAACAGCAATGTGACTGACTCAGATGATGACGAGAGGGATCCGGGCGTGCTTGATGCCGCTATCGTCCAACTGTTAAACTCCAACACTGTTGATGAAACATTTGACGGATTTGTAGAAGAGCAATGGTTGGAAAAGTGAGTGTATTTTTCTGTGTTTTATGTGTGTTGCATGTGAACACTATTGACAGTTATTGTTCGTGAGTTGAATTAAGTCTGACCTATCCGACTATTTTGTTTCGCTTTATACGTCCAACAAATACGGTAATCCTTATATTCGCAATGACATTGATTCTGCTCAAATAGAATAATCATCTAACTTGAGTTTATGTGTAACAAGCATTAAACGCGAAAGAAACCTGATCTCAAAGCATGAACACTTTAACCTGATCTAACTTTTTTGACGTAAATCACCTCAGATATGAGTTTGGATCAAACGCGTGATCGACACTCAGCAGCACTGAAATCAACTTGTTGTAATCAGCTGTAATACATTCCGTCATTTCCTTAATTGGGCGGAAAAAGAATCTACGTAAATACCCTGTTTTCCTAGACTGTCCCCACTGGGCAATATACAAGGAGCTATATGTCAACAGCTCTGGCCATGGACTTCTTTTTGTTCGAGTTCAGCCGCTAAAATTCAGATGAAAACCGTACAGACCCAAACCTTAACTCTACAGCCCAAATTGGCGCAATTGAAGTTGTTTGTTACTAATCTAAATTTCGATTCGGTGTGTGTATGGACTATCCCAGCTAGGCACCAGTCTAAGTAAGTCTATTCTTGCCGTAACATCCAGTGACTTTTGAAAGTAAACCTGATGGACACCGTTTGTGCTTTCGGCGTTCGCCATTCATGAGACACATGAAAGCTGTCTATGAATGTAATCAGGATATTCGGAAAAACTACCTATCCAGAAGTACCTATTATAGTCAGCAGTGCGACGGCAGCTGAAAGGTCAGACAAATGGTACGGACGTCAAACCAATGGGGAATGCTGTACTTCAAACGCTGCTCTAGGAATTTCACGACCAGGATATAAATCCGCATCATATCCACTCATACCAGAAGATTAAAACCGCGTTAAAATGGCAGAAACTATTGGTCGCAACCGAAGACGCCGGCGTATATTCTTACATTTCACTGCCAAAGGAGTTAGGTAACACAGACATCACAGTGTGAGATGTATTTAGCAATCTTTCTTCCCAAATGTGTACGTGAGTAAGCGTTAAGCCAATGTTGCTAATGAGTAATGGAGATTCCGGTATAAGGCAGAGGTAATTCTTCACAGTCCACTCTGTCAGCAGGTTTCGGCATGTCTGGAAAAGCACCAGACAGTGCTGTTTCGACAGTTAGTTAGTTAGCCCCACAAGTTACGATTTTCCGCATAGCGATTGTCTACGACACAGCAGTTAGAAGTCATATGGACGGACTTTAGCCAAGGTCTACGCATGCATGACTTATGAAGACGGCTTCGTTCTTACGAAAAGTCGAAGTTTAACCGTAATTCGTATCAGTATTTAATGTAGTTTCGTGAAGCAACTCAACTAACACACTTAAATATGATAGAGTGGCTAGGGAAGTTTTTGTAGAAAACCAGACAGCTCCAACAGATTTTGGTGGAAAGTGGTGGCCCCGTGCATTACACCAATGTAGGATGACGGTAGAAAACCGTTTGGAATAGATTTTGTAAGATGTAACATCAATACTATTGAAAGAAAGAGCTGATGTGATGTTAATCAACATACTAAACAAACGTATTGACTGTGGGAAGGATAATAAATTGTCATTCCATCTGAGCTGATTATTTCATAGATAAACCATTGGGTTGACAATGAATGATTTAGCATGACGACTGATTGGTCTGAACAGGACGTGAAGTCAACACAGAAAAGAAAACTGGTTAAACAGATTGGTATTGAATATGGGAAAGACTCCGGTTCGTCAGGCATGCTGGGGGTGCATTTGACGGACTAAAGGAGGGCCCATTAAGCTATAGCTCAACGCAATATCGTTATACATTATGTGGACTATGTGCGAAGCTAACTTTCTCAAATAATAGATCGAAATAGCCGACACATCTTTGTCCTGGTATGTGAATAGCCGATTTACATATAGTCAGGAAAGAATGCTCTTGTAAGTTCGCCGTGCGCCGCAAGTGTTTACATAACTCGGTTAGGGTAACTACACTTTAATTCGAAGGCAAATTGGCTTGGCGCAAACTTGAAAATTTCCTTGTCACTGGCTGAGAATCAGTAAGAAAGTTGGTTTTAACCATTCTAGAGAGGGCTATACAAAGCAAAAAGTTATTTTGACAGAAATTCCGGTAATTGTTTTTTGTTATATACGACGCAGACTACTTAATTTCGTTGGTAACCCATTTTTCGCGTTTCACGCAAATCCTCTCTATCTGGCAGGTTCGCTGGCTACTTGGGCCTCTTCTCACCGGATTCCTGTCTCAGCATTTTGCGTGCCAACTTATGTATCTATACGCTCTGTCTGCATAACTTCCCGGTTTTCGAAGAGAACAAACTTCGACTTTTTGTCAAATTTTATACAGGTTCTCCTCTTCGGCATGCGTACACAACTGCAATTCAGTGAGTCACCAGTCAAATCTACTTTGAATGTGACAATAAGCTTTTGTGCTTCCAAAGCTCTGTGTCTGTATACTACGTGAGAAAACAGTTACTGTATACGAAAGGTACTTGAAATCGTCCAATTAACCACTCCTCAATACCACACAAGATGTGAGCGCTAAATTCATGACAGTTATTCTACTTACATTTCATGAGTAGCTAAGTAATTCATTGTTTACTGACAGTCGAACCGACGGCTTTCTGTTCCCCTTCAACGCATGCAGGCAACTTCCACAGTGAACTGATAGGTATCCTCTTCAGCTTTACCTTTAATCACTAAGCACTTCACTCCGCTTATGCTGACGTGCAGCCCGAGTACTAAGCGTTTTACAGCGTCACATTTCTTGAGTTTGCATTTTTAAATCAGTTAAAAAGTTATTGGAATTACCGCTACTCCTTGTCACAAGCATATCTGTGGGTCAGTGTATTCATCCCTATAGTAACACGAGTAGACTAAGATTACTTGTGAGGAAACCTGAGGAAAGAACTGTAATGCAAAAGATAAGCATGAATGTGCTCTCTATACAGAACATCTTAATGTGATCTATCACTATTTCATTAACCATAGTATCTGGCACTTCGGCTACGACGTTGGGGTTGTCAAAACAATCTAAAGGCGCTTTTACTTACGCATTTGAAACACAGGATGAAAGGCACCTACGATTTCGTACTCCATGTCCACGCAATGTAACTTGATTCGTTTCCGTATTCCTACTCCACTGGATAAGGAGAAATACGCGTAGGAATTTTAATTCTGGTCGCTGAACACCACTCGTCTACACCAATGAACTTGTGCTGGTGCACAATAAATCTTAGATGGGTCATTTTTATTGGAATCAATGAAATGTTGTCCACCCTTGCCTGCCCACAGTTCAAATTTCCTCAGTCGATAAACCAAGCTTATGTGACCGAATACTATGCTTCGTATGCTCCTTAGTGATGAAGTGCTTCACCGTTTGATATTCGCGTTGGTTCATGGTTCACAAACTGCGATTATTTGATGATGACACGGTGCCACCAGCTGTTATCACTCATACAGCAGTGTACATAACACTTAATGGTAATCACTCCGCAAACTGAAGCAGCACTTGGGTTGAAAGTGCTATTCTGAACGAGACAGGTGTCACGGTTTTTATATCACATGGAAAGGGGAATCAATTTTCTTGGAGTGTATATTTTAGTTAAAAGTTTCTGAGTAGGCTGCATTTTTAGTTGCCTATGCTTCCCAATCATCCAGTTGACTCACGGTGACTTATCTTACCCTTGACACGTTCACCTCTCCCACACATTCACCCCATGGATACACCATGATCAGTCGGCATGGGAAGTAGACCACACATTGAATGCATACATTCTTTATCCGCAAGTCGTTGTAGTAAACACGGCGAACCAATCCTTCAAATCCTAACTGTTGTAGCGAAGGCCAACTGTATCGACAACAATCGCTTCTGTATGACAAGATCGCAGTCAACAGGTAGCCAAACTTTGAGAACAATAGGACTTCATCCTTTGCCTTTTCTATCAATGTTGTCAAACTCATCAGAACAATACTGTTGCTTAGCAGGATAATTCACTTAATGCTGGCCTATAGACCAATTGGGTTAACCAATTTACAGGCGACGGACAAAGTTATCTGTTAAACTTTTCAACTCTTACGATGATCGACCTCTGACAGGGAACCTTGAAAGCCAGGGATATCCGGCGCATACCACTTGTTTCTTCTACGCTTCCTGCAAAACATTTTTCAATTTAGTTTGGCCTTCTGCTTGAGTAAACGGAACTTTGTTACTATACTTGCAAGTAAAGCCTGCATGTGTGTAACGTTTGTTACTCGGTAGGTGGTGCAGTCTCCTCTGGAGTGAAGACTTCTCGACCACCTTCACTTAGGTTCCCAAACCTTAATTGCTACATTGTGATACAGAATCTAAGTATAATTGTGAAAACTAAGACGGCGCAACAGGAAGCACAAGATAAAGTGCGTACACACCGCATGCTCATCTTTCCGCGTCCGGCGTACAGTGAAAGCAATTTGTTAGCCTACTTGTGAGCTGGTGAACGATTCAGACATCCGGAGTGGTGATATTTGTAGTCTGCATTTGAAATGAGCTGATTGTAGTTGAAAAACATCAGCTTTTTCGCTTTTGCAATTACTTTGAGAATACGTTGCACTTAGAGATGCTATTACATATATTTAGATTGTTATGAATAAGCGCTGAGAAATAGTAACCAAAGCAGATGTCCATTTTTTGAATTGGGCTGTTAGTAAAGTAGCTAGATGTGTTACCTAGATCCCTGTTTAAGCATATATCAAAACGCACTTCAATCCAGTAGATTTGTTATTAGTGCTCCTTGTTTAGTAATACCAATAGACTTACTGCGTTAGCTCGAGAGACATTGTGGTGCAACATTCCATTAAAACCGCATACTATTAGTTCGTCAAGTTCAGAGCCAATAGAACAATGAACGATGATTTATAACGGGTAAAAAGCGGATACTTTGAAAGTCCCGTAGGACTACCAGAGTGATGAGTATAAGATAAAGCTTAAAAGAACAGGAAGAACGGGAACCTTCGAGTTCAAGGTGAGTCACCGAGTTATTTACATGCACACAAATGTTGGTTTCCTAGCGGCTACATAACGTGGATGGCTGGTGAGCACAATGTTCGCTTGGGGTTATTTCCTCTTCTGATGAAAACCTAATGTAAATTGGATAAACTGTATCCCATTCGTTCCTTAAAACTACTTATATGGGGGCAAAATAACCTGGATTAGAAGTGCGTTCCCGTTTCGACATACATGAAGGGAGTAAAGCTTTTGTTGGTAATCAAATCTACCATAGTTTTTGGCAAGTTTGAGCTGGTGGCCTGTCAGTTTCGTACGGTGGCTGAATTACAACTGATTGCGATAGGCCTGATTTGGGTATGCCAGTAGTTGGTAAACCATGACATTTTCACAGGCGCCGATATTCACCGCTGTACAACCTTAGGGCTTGCGGTCTACGTTAGTATGAGTGGAGAAGCATTCCTCTAACGATTTTCATCATCCTATTCCGTCACATTAACCTCGTGTTCGCTTCATTGTTGCCAGGCTTGGATCGCGTATTCCACATGGGGCCTCAAGTGGGCGTTCAGCCTTTGCGGAATTATAGATGACCTGAACTTCTTGACCAGCCATTGTAAGAGTCCAACGTGTTGACTGGCTGTTATCGATACCCTTTCGTCCAGTTTTAAGCGGTCAAGATCATCCTGCACGATTACACCGAGGGTGTTTTACTGTGTAGGATGTCGTAACCGCTGGCCCACAAATGGATATTTATAACTACTCTGATAGCCTATGATCAGAACTAGTCATTTTGCTAAGTGAAACTGGATCCGTATTCCTGATAACCAGGTATAATTCTGGTCGCTATCTCTCCGTAGTGCCGCATGGTCTAACCCTGTCCTGATGTCGTGCAACATCTGGATATCATCCGCAAGTAGTAAGTCAGACCGGAGCACACTAGTAAGGCGGTTGATGAGTACTGAGAATAAACGTGAACCCAGTACCTATCCTTGGGGCAAGCCACACTGGACTTCAGTTGGGCAGGAGATTGAACTGCAGACTCTCACATTCAGCTGACATTGTATGAGGAAGTTGCTTAATCCAACCCAGCATTAGGCCACCGCTTCCATAGCTTCGAAGTTTAAGAAGAAGGATGCGGTGGTCCAGCCAGTCGAACGCTTTAGAGAAGTCTATGGTTTCGACTCCTACTCTGACATCAACCGACTCCATTTAGCTTGCTGGGGCTAGCAACAAGTTCGGAGTGCAGAAAAGATCCCGGCGGAATCCGCGCTTTTGGGGCACTATGATGTGTTTGCTTTCAGTGTTTCCTATAGGTGCTTCTGCGATAATGCCTTCCATAACTTGGATATGATCCAGCCATGATAGCAACGTGCAAATCTCTCAGCTCCTCGGAACCAGTGCTGGGAACAACGAATGTACCACAAAGCAGAACTTATACCACTCCGAAAAACTAATGATACCTCGAAAGTTGCTGTCAAATGAACAAATAAAACTGTTTTGCTACAGTCTCTGGCAACAATATGGGTGACCATCCGACCGATATTGTCGCCTGCGTTGTCTACAAAAGCATAGCTGAACGAATTCGTTCTATGCCCTCAAACAAGTTCATAGTAATCCTACGTGAATTGGAGACTTTTAGATACTTGGGTGGGAAGAACACACCACATTTTGAGTAACAATAACTCACGCTTGAGTCCGGTTTGATCATAAGGTGTGCAATAAATCAGATGCTTTGGGAAAAAGATCAATTTTATGTCAAAGTTACTAATAGCATCTGACACGTATGAACAAATGCCGATAAGCAAAATTGATAATGATGTTGAAAGTTTCAAAATTCACAACACATCAGGGATAATGATGGAATATCATTTGTGTTCCACATGAACTGGGGACCCGTGGTAGGTTGAACAGGACATTGTAACCTGACTTGCCAGTTTAACTTTTAGATGAGACATTTTGCGGCTAGAAATGCGTAAGTGAAGTGCATGTGTACCGGAATAAGCTTGGAACCGTTTGGTTTGTAGAAGCTGCCGCGTGACCACAATAAAAGCCCAAGCAAAACCGATCTGTATTGTAGACCTTCAGAAGTTATGGATTCAGTTTACTTTGTTAAACCTATGTCAGCGACACCATCATGGTTGTCTACTAATGACTCCTGGAATCGTTAACAGAAAATGCGATTTTCACATCCAACAGCTATCTGTTATCCGAATGAGTGCGTAAGGTGGTCCATCACCTCGATATTTTTACTCCCTACTTGTTACCAATACATAGAAAGATCACTGCACTCGTGTTTCGTAGCCATCTACCCTGAAGGCTTCCAACAGAGGGCTAAATCCATGCGATCGGCATCAGAAACGCAGCTCAGCATAATATAGGGGCCCACCCTGTCCTCTGCACGACAGTAAGGTGTAACTCAGTGGATAGTAAGCGGCGCTATATCACATCTAGTAACTTATTCTCAATAGTCGTTGCCGTCCACCGTAGCTCAGTGATCTCAACCACGGACGGGAAACAGTCGGGTTGCGGGTTCGAACCCTACCAGTGTCCGATGGAATGCGCACTGCTGACGATTCCCAAAAGCATGAAACGCACGTACAGTGCTTTTCCGGGCGTGTGAGGGCTGTCTGAGTGAGCCTAGATGTGACGAATTTCTACTTATACCATTCAACTCCTACTACTACTCCCCTGTAATTTAATTCAAAGTTGAATTTGGAGTGCCTGCCGTGTGGCTGGATTGCCACGCACTATCTCCATTGAGACCTCGATTCACTTCAAAGTAGACCTCGGTCATTCCGATCAGAAAAGCCGTATCCGCATCATCTAGAGACAGCCGTACGTTGCTCACGGACCTTAGACGTATAGTGATTGAGGCTTCGGCCGTGAAACACTTGGCATCGAGTTCCACTCCAGCTCAGGCTATCTCCATCTGATGAGTCCGAACGAGTACGAAACCGGTCATGGCGTGTCGGTGTTGGGAGCAGCAGCCCTGAAACATCCGATTTGAATGTTCACATGTTCTGGTTGGTTTGTGTTGGTGATGAAGATAGAGAAGAACCCTATAACCTTCATCTGCTTTCTATTTTTTTCTCACACACTTTTCGTCCCCATATTTTAGTGATTTTTACCATTCGGATTCCAATAATTTGGCGCTGGCTTTTTCACACTGCCTCGACGCCGCCACAACCCCACCCTGTTTGATCATACAGGGTAACATCACTGTGATCGCATATCACTGCCGCCCCTACCCGCATAAAAGACTTCGATTGTTCCGGTGAGTTCTGAAACATCGCCAATATGTTTTACTTGACCGCTACAACTCGATCAAATCTACATTTTCTGCTCTATTTTCAGACTTCATTTTCATTCCTGCGAAGGTTGTTTCGAACCACTGACATTCCATCGCGATGACTTTGATGAACTTTGTGATGGTAAGTTTTACCATAATCAACGCGCTTGCTTCCTTTAAGTTGGTGCAAACAACTCAGCTAAAAATTGGTTTTACTCATTCAAGTAAGAACCAATAGAATCCCTCCCTTTTTCTCAACCGGCAACAAGTCCATTTGTTCTAGTGGCATATAATTCTGTGGTTCTAGTAACCTTAGATGCTTTTCTGTAGCTTTCCTGCTGCTACTTGGTTACTACATACCATATGTCGCAAAGTAGCGCGATGATTGTAGAGGCGGTAACCGGTAGGAGAGAAGTCTAGTGACTAAGTTATGTGAGATAGAGTTTTATTGCTTTTCGTTTAACTTATACGCAGTCAATTGTGAGACACGCGGTTAGGTTTTGTCATGGGGGAGAACTTTTCTTTTCGCTTGATCAATGCTAAGTATACAGGTTGTAGTTTTTAGTGCATTTTGTCGATTTCTTGCGATACTTCTCTGATGTGATGGTTTCGCCAGGGTTCAATAACTTATAATGAATGCTTTCAGTTACCGACCACCAAACAACAACGATTACCGTCTTTTGATGCAGCTTCGGTTGTGGGTGTCATGGTGTCTCATCTCTGTCTAGCCACTAGGCGGAACGCAGTCGGTTTATGTATGGAAACAATTTTCCGTTAATCACGAGGTGGATCACCTGTGTTGTGAAAGAGAAATGCAGGGCAGACGTCGTATCTGCGTTTCTGATTTTCGTTCAGCTCCTGAGGTGCTCACTTATCGGGTATTTCAGATGTACTTGCATGTCGCGAACATCAAACAACTGTCGAACAGTTAAGGCTTTGATTTTCCGCAAGCCCTCGAGTTGTTTTGTGGATCCACTACTAAAACAACCCTTAGCTGATTGTCCTCAAGCGCAGTAAGATATCCGCCACCCTCCTCATCTTCAAAAACCTCGTCCGCATTATGAAACGTTTGAAACCAACGTTGGGCTGCACGTGCAATAGCCGTCCCCTGACTAAATGATTAGTTGATATTGCTGGCGGTTTCTGCTGTTCAACCTCCCGTTTTGAACTCACACATCAAAATCGCTCAAATCTGCTTTTGTTCCATCATTATATTGACAGCTTAAAAACAAGCAGCGACCATGGCAAAAAGCCATTAGTATAGATCAGTAGTACGATATTCACCTTGAAAATGGCACAGCAGAAAAGCGCAATTAAACTTGATCCAAAAATCGCCATCAACGTTTAAAACAAAGAAATCCTAAGTATTTCTTAAACGACCTAATGAAAGTTGGGCCCCACTCTCCAAATAAGTATTTAGAGCCAAATCGCACCTACGGTTTGTTCCTTTGGATGGTCCCAGAGTGAAATTGGTAGTTTGCAAAATAAAGCCCTAGCAGATGCTACCGCATGTGACCCGGGGTAGTTGATATTAAAGATAGCCGTATCTGTTTAACTAAGTGTCGTCCGCGTCTGGAGTACCACTAAGTATGTCAACGCGTTCTTAATTTTCATTGCTTGGTCATTAGTTCGACAGAAAGAAGCAATCTGAATGACCTTATTGCCAATTGTGCACAATATTGAGATTCGACCAGTGGCCTGTACGACTTATGGCACTCGCTCTCATATCTACTTACATCTGATGAGAGCATTGTGTGAGCAATACCGAAGCCCATTGGTTGATGCTTGACAACTAATCCTCTGGTGTCCTAGTGGTATTTTCTAAATTTGAACCGTAAATGTTTGCTAAGTCGTGTCTTTCTTATGCCTGTTGCCTGTCTTGCTCGACCTACAATCATTGTTATCACTGTGCTTAGCTGACTACAAGCCATGGGTGGCATGAAAAGATTGGCAAAGGGCCTCCGCAGCTGGCATCATCTTCTTTATGGTGGGGAACCTTGAAAATGGCTTCACTCGATCAGTGCATACTTGCTCTTGAATATAGCTGTTGGCTTCGAATCCTTTTTAAGTGGGCTCTTTCTTTGCGTTCCACCTGGGTTCTGCTGCTCTGACTTTCCTCTGATAACCATCAGAGTAACCTGCACTACTTCCTGTGAGTGCCCGAACCATATCCTTTAAACAACTGAACGGTTACTGTGCGCCTGCAATGCGGTCGCCCTTTTAAATCATGGGTCACATCATCAAATGAGCAATGTAACCGCAGAGGAATAAAGACGGGAAGCATGCGGCTGGCAGTCACGAGTGATCCGGATCCGGCCTACCTTCATTCAACGCTAAAGTACTGATGAGTGGGAGAACACGCAAGTCAAACGTACACGGGGTGGCAACTGGGGTGTAGCCTGCTTCTTGGTAGAACTGCTCTTTCAACCTGACACATCCACGGCGATTGTGCTGCCTCTTCTTGTAACGATCGGTAATGGCTAGGATTCAAGAATTAGAGACACGGAGTCTGACGGGTAGACAGCTCATCACCTCCCTCAACAAGTGTAGCCACACTGGGATTTATTCTAAAGGCGGTAACCATGTAACAATATCTTCGCGCGACTACACATTTATCCAAACTAGAGCGACAACGTCTCAAACAATCTTTCAGACGTTCCATCAGTGGATATTAATCATACGCTGTCCAAAAATTTATTTGGTTTGCTTTCGAGGGTACATGTGATCTCCGACTGAAAGTAATGTCCATTGTGCCAGTCGAATCGGTCTGTTTCATCTAAAGAAGAATCTCCGACAAGTTGTGTAGGAATCAAATGATGATTGCAGACTGCTTTCCAATTTTACCTCACGACACATCCACTTTACAAAGAGACTGAAGGGGGGTCACTGTTTCGAAAGTTGCATATTGAAAAATTCTGAACGCAAGTGACCCTAAGTCAAACGATGGTCAAACGAACATTACCGGTTGCACCTGTTTGATAGTGAAACATTAGAAGAATAGTGTAAGGAAGTTGGGCTATTTTCCTACCGAACCGAACAACTCGATTGAGCCATGATTTCTTAGAACTGGTACACACAGAGAGGCCAGTAACCATTCACCTATGATGCTTACTCTCTGTAAAAACGCCTACCTCATACATATCATAAACAATCGTAAAAGACATCATGTCTCATTCTCTATAATTTCAGCATTCCCATCAACTGTACTTCTGGAATTACTTTGTACAAACCGGCCACTAACTACACACGGTGAGTGTTGTTTATTGGTCACCGTTTGAGTATCCACAGTGATACAGACGGAATAGTGCACTCCTTCGTTTTCTTTGTCTATTCTGAGGCTATACTACTGGTTGCTCTTAATTTCATCAAGTTACGTGGATGCAACTTTATGATGAACTCTGTTGCTGTTCTTAAGGGAGCAACTCTTCAGAGAAAGAATCAAAACATGTGTGAAATACTAAACAACCCACTCAACTCTCTGCGTTCAGGTGACAGGAAACCTATTGCGTGAAAAATGTTTACAATTACAAATAAAATATCACATGTAGTATGTGATGATGCATAGTTTTCAGCTTGTGAGTAGCAGTTAAAACAAGCATTCGGGTGCCGAAACAGCAACAGCCTATGACCAGCGAATTCACGGTATACGTGCATCGTAATTGGCATTAAGGAATGCAGTTCAGTAACGGGCTACATGTGATTTCAAAACAGTTGAGAACTATGAGAACCCTTCCTTCGTGAAACTTGCGACCTGTGGACGTTCTCGGAGTCCGCAGATGGAGTGTCAAACAGACATACAGTATGTGCTTTAATTTCGCTCTGATAACCCCTAAAACGACACTGGTCTTCAGGGGCTGGAGCGCGAAGCTCATTAAACGCATTTTGAATCTTGATTTGCTTATGACAATCTCTTGCGTGTAATGTCGACCGAATAAAGTATCTGAATAACACATCGAAGGCCGTTCACTTGGAAAGGTTACTTGCAAACTGTGTCATCATTGTACTGCTTGCAAAGTACTTAGGTGCAAAGTAACCCGTTGGCATGTTGATAAAATAGACATCCACCAGGATCCAGTAATCCATTCATGGAGCATGCCTTCTAACATTTTCGTTGAAGTGCTCGATACAGACGGTGGGGCCGTTCAGTGTACGAAAGCGGGGTAATACATGCTATGATGCTCTGTATGCTTTGAGCACAAAGAACATGCAGTTCGATTCCTGTGAATCCGATGTTCCACCAGACATCAAGGTTGTGACACTTTGGAATGGCGCGTAACCACTGGCCCCGTGTTACTTGGTTCCAGTATGTAGCCTAGCGCATAGAAGTTGTTAGTGCACACAGTAATGTTCATGCAAATTTTTGCCTTTTATTTGAAGTTGCAGCTAACCAACTGCACTTTTTCTTCTCTGACCTGATTCTCAGAATATGTCCCAGTCTCATCCATCTACCCAAGATGTCTTTAGTTCGTTCCTTTGCGGTTCCAGCTACTTGGCTAGTTCCAAACCTGGAAGCTTTATAGTGAAATAACAGTACTAGATAACACTAAATTACAGTAAGATATGTTGCACCGTCCTAAACACCCCTTGGTCTTCACTAGGGTTTTGAATACCTTAGTGTGCTAACAAATGGACCGTTCGAAAGCGTTGTTCCTGGGCTATCCGAAGCAGAACACATCACTCTTCAACATCGTAGTCAAATCAGTGAGGCAGTGGCCAGAATTCATGCGCCAATTTTGCCCAGCAAATGTGATAAACAGAACAAGAGTCGACATATTTGCTATTCAGCAATTTATTCTAAATCATTTGTTGTCTTGAGTGAATGAAGTGTATGCCGTAAAGGATTGAATTTACGGAACCATAAAGAAACATCGGTTATTGGAATATCATAAACCATTAACTGGTTTTTTGATACACTGTTGCGGGAATGCATCGTCAAATACTTTTGATCAAGCTTTTCGTTTCGCGTCATTTTGCGTGGGTGCGTGGCACAGTTATCCAGAATGAAATCAAATGTCTACGATTTATCACCCTAAACAAAACCCCAGTGTACGGACAGAAATTTGTAGTAATCACTTGATTGAAGCAGGTGTATGAGGAGTATAGAGGAAGCGGGAAGAAGAGGAAGGGTGGCCAAGCGATGACTTGGTCGAGAGGAATGAAGGCCCTCACTTCTGAGCTGGCCTCGGTTGGAGCGTCTGGGCTCCCTGGTTGGGGTCCGAAAGACGATGAACACGTTTGATTGGACACACTTGCTGATATGGCAAGGAGCCGACCTCACTGGCGTTCGTGCTGTGAGTTTCTTTGTCCCACCCATCCCTCTTAGCCTCCCCCTCCAACCACCATCTCATTATTTAGCCTTATATAATTTTGCATAGGAATTTTTTTGGATACACAGTAGCCGGCTGGTAGCTTACCGGAACAATGCCCATCCGTTACCGGTAGCTCAGCCGGCTTGCACCAGTTGCATTTTTTCTCCTTTTTTCTATGTTTTGCGTCACAGTAGCTGAGGTGTTCCCCACCTCTAGCTAACGTGTATAATGATGATGATGATAGAAGAAGCGCACACAGACTAAATGATGCGCCAGCCATCTGTTCGAAATACTTTACGATTACAAATCCACACTTCTATTATGGTTCGAATGCAAAAGTGGTGCTCATGCTAATACCTTAAACAATTTGCTTCGGGTGATGACGGGAAAACGACAATCAGACAGCAACACAAATGAATTTGCGCTGCAAAAGCGATAAACTGCAGCAGGGTGTTACACAAGTACTGCATAAGTTCATCGGTACCGTGGTTTTCTGGATTATCTTTCTTTTCCATTAGTGGTTGGCTTCTGTTGCTTAGTGTTTGCAAATCAGTGCACAAGCTTAGCCAGCACACCATGGGGTTTTACCTTATTAACCCTACTGGTGACCATACGGATGACACCACAGATGTAGCCCATGCTCTGTTAAAGGAGACTATTCACGGTCGAATCCATACAGGACCATTCGTTCATGCTCATGTACCTGAATGGAGAAAAGTTTAGCAAAATTTCCTTATAGTAAACCCAGGATTGGGAAGTCATGGCTAGATTATGTGCCAAGATAATCAATGTTCCCTTGAACATCTTATTAAAGGTATGATATAAGTCCGTTGAAACGGCGCTCAGCAAATAAACCAACACCCAATAGCACAACAAGAGCTACCAGTATTTCGACTTAGTAACAAGAGAGTATATGTACCAAATAAAAATAGTTGAAACGGTTTAATGGAATATTCAGGGAATCATATTGGAGTTAGCCGCATTCTCCTGATAGTCCAGTGGAATGTGGATGTTATCCGTTAAACTGAAAAAGCAACTATTAAAAATGCACATAAGCAACGCGCAAAACTATTCACAGAATGCAACGCGGTTTTATGCTAATGCAGTTTGGTCAACACGACTGGCATATCAAAACAGAAGTGTTCGCTGAAATCAGTCAACATCTATGGGTAGATACGGGCTGGTACAAACCAATTCAGTTTATGCATCCATGTCAGAGCTTTTTGTCTGAGACCTTTTCGTGGTTTCCTACATATTTTGTCAGCTAATCTGGATGTATATTACTGTGCATTATTGTGCCGTTTATGCGTCTGATATCCGGGAACATTCGATATAGGCTTTCTAACAGGTGCGGCGAGTGTTATCTCAGGATCTCGAATGTTGTGATCAACTACCTAATTACGGAAGCTGAACGTATTCAAATTGTTTCCGCATCGAAAAGAAATATTAGACGACAGCAGCATATCGTTGAAGCCTGTCAACTGCATGCATCCTCCTAGGACTGTGTGATTTGGTCACAAAATGCACCTCTGAGATGAAACTACTCAATCCTCTTACTCATGAAAGCGTTGCGTTACGGCAACTGTTTACTTCCCACCTTCCTTTAACTTGCGCCGCACTAGTTGAATGCAAAGAAGTCTTCGTGAATTTCCTACTACCGTATTTGCTGTGGACGCAATGCGATCGCTCGTAAACCTCGGACAAGATTGCTATGTGCGCGGATGAATCATATAGTTCGTTTGACTTTGTACTACTAATTAATTTTAAGTAAACATAAAAATAAAAACAATAGCGTTTGTTTTTAATTCTAGCAACTGTACAAGTGACGAATGTGGATTGGCAGTTTGCTAAAGGTTCTGGCATTCCATCAGGGTCTGCAGCCTCACTGAATCAGCTCAGCTGTGCCATGAGCTCAGACGAGGCAGTAAGAAGACATGATTCTTTGGAACATCTCACGGACCTCGCCAGAAATTCGCAGTCTGTCCGCAAAGTTCTCTTTCGTTCAATAAACGAGCACACAAATCCAAAGTCACATCCTAACGCAGTTGGAATACCACTGCACCTGTCGAAGTCATTGACTGATGGACAAGATGGAGTATATGATCACACCGTTCTATCTAAAGTGCGTTTAAAGGCAACAACGGAAAAACCCACTGCTTCTATAAACAAAAGAAGCTTTCTCGATGTCTTCTCTCGGCAACCTGCAGGCAGTATGGAGAAGAGAGACGAAAAAGGAGTGCAAGGTGAGTCCCTCATCCAAAGTTTCCATGGTATGGAGCTGTACGCAAAACTTTTAAGAACTGCTTCAACCATTGCAGGACCGCAAGCACCGGTCTCCTAGATCATGCAACGTGTACACCACTGTGGCGTGGAACTTTGGCAGTGGCTTATGCAGTTTCGGGTGTGTAACAGTTTTCCCTTGTTATGCGTTTATATGTATCGAGTGTTGAATATTATTAGCTGAATCACAATAACCTTTGCTTACACTGGTATTTTACTGAGTTAATCTCGCGAACTGGTGACAACAACTTCCAATCCGCACGGGAATTATGGTAGGATGCTTAACAAAGAGATACAAGTATAAACTTTGTTATAGTTGCTCAGTTACGTCTTTACGCATGTTTCAGTGTCCTTTTAACTTCCTCAGTGTCAGGAAACATAGAGCCAAGGACTCTGATGCCACCACCAATGGAAACTCAAGTACCAAAGATTAAACGAATTATCGGGAAACGTTTGGTAAAGCTATTCTCTAAGCGCGGATCAAAGGAATATACTTTTAAGACGGACAACAGCTCGGAAAGCTCCAGTGGCTCCGAATCCTTCAGTTCTGAGGATTCAACTGGTAAACGATCAGATGGATGGCTTTCAGAGTTACTGAGTTCCTCCTCCAGAAAGGCTCGCGCAAGCTTTCGAGGCTTATCAAGTCCCCGCTCCTCACCCCCTCGAAAGACTCGTAAGATGGACAATGCAGTTGACACAAATGCATCCACTGTCGGTAAGTCTGGTCTGCTAAAGAATAATCCCTTTGCTAATGCTTCCAGGATACTCTATTGCACACCTAGGAACTATATGCAATGTAATCTGGTGGGTATGCCTAAACATCTTGTGCGCTTGCATGCATGTTGGTGCACAGTCTCAAATGGACAGCATAACTAATCACACCCAGTCTTATATGTGATCAACTCAAGAACTGCCAGGTTGCACCATTTTAATTAGGTAATTATGCTAACTGCTTAACCTCGAGATACGCGGTTGCGTCTGGCTATTGGGCACTGGAAAATCGGTTGGTTCTCGCCTGAGCTGGCTCCTAGTTTCAGAGGGTTACTACTCGATGCACAGCGTGCTCTTTTATCGGCTTCGAGGCCGTGTTTATATCCCGCAGGTTTATGGTTTCGAAACGACCTCGGTAGCTTGCCGATATATATATATATATATATATATATATATATATATATATATATATGACGAATAGCCGATTGATTGTTCTGATGGACTATGGAAAATCTTCCTTGTGTTATTGCAACCAAGCTAGTGATTAATCATACTTCTAGAACTATGTGCTGGTCTATTTGTGAAAGTCCACGCCAAGCGGGATTACTAAAGCTGTGTATCACTTAGTGGTAAGATGTCTTATTAACCGTATATTAACAACTCCTCGTTACTTCATCAAATTGGTTGTCACATTCATATCCGTAAGAGTTTCTCGTTTCTGATGGTCCATATTTTTATCCTATACTTATACGCATCATGCGGTCTAATAGAATGGCTTAGGTTCACGTAGTATATCACCAGAAATAGAAACTTTCTCAGAAAGCAAAACTAGTTAGGTTGTTACTATCTCCTATATGACGGATAGCTTTCGGTCGGCGATTTATGCTTTATGTTTGCCAAGAGAAGCCCACTGTCCTTATGGGCCTAGTCCGCATCCAATGCTCTATGGGTCCACCATGTCCTAGGAAATCATAATCAAGAATAATAAACAACTCAGTAGCGTCACAAATTAACTGGTACTCGAATTCTGCTGCATGCTTTGATACTGCTCCACCTGGTACTTCGAGATATGCTAATGTGCACTTCATGCATGAGTGCTCTTGCGAAACCTCAGGTAACAGTCTCTCTTTGCTTCGACCAGGTGCACAGAGTCCAATGCGGATTACAACAACCGTATAATATTTTCTATGCTGATTCATCAAGCGCGTGCAGCCCAGCTTGGTACATTAGGTGCCTAATGCAACTACTTCTCGGTGCTTAGACGAGTCTGGATAAACCACCAAGAAGAAATATTGCCAACAGTTTAAACGCATTGCTAACTTTAGGCATTAATTGCAGCGGACCTAATTCTGTGTACACATCACCAGAGACTCACAGATGTAGAACAACGGTTAGTTAGAATAATATATTTCCAGTCAGGCACAATTTTGTCACGTTTCTGCCTATCATGCGTACTAAAGAGCACTAGAACCTGCAGGACGCGGCAAACAATAGCCAAGGTAAACAAGTCTCCATGAACTAATGGTCGCGAAGTCAGCTAGCTAGATTACAATCATAGTAAGAGCCACTACTTGAATTACCGTTGTGGTGACACAGAACTGGGTGCAGGTATTATTGCGCAATCGCTGAGACATGCTCCACAACACTTTTTGAGTTATTTTGAGGCCGCAGTCCGAACATGATGCCGAAGAATTAAAGGGAAATTTACATGCCCCTGAACATGTCATTTCAAAAAGGGAAAATGTGTTCTACTTTCTGTTACGCTAAACGTTGTCCAACAATCGAATACTTCGGTCCCACGATTGCTGGTGAATCGATATGGAGTATAGAGTGCGGACAGAATTTGAGATGTATCTCCAGGACACTGGAGAATGTACGCAGTGGTCTCGGTGGGAAATTTGAGCTTAACAACCGGATATATCAGAATTACCTCAATTGGTAGTTTCCTGTTGGGTGGCAAAATCCTGCCTTCATTGAAAGAAACCAAAATAAAACTAGCCTATGAACTCGCGGGTGAAATCATTGGCAAGTCACTAAAATGAGCGCGGTATTTTGGCTTCATCGCAAAGTTTTGATAAATGGCTGTTTTTCCGTGCCTAAGTGAATGATTTATAGACTACAGCTAGGCAAGATTGTGTGGGTTGGTGACTTACGGCATTTGCTGCCAATACCCAAATATTTGATCGGCAACTACACTAACGATAGACAACAAGGAGTCCATACGGAACAATGGAGTTGTGAAATGGACAATTTAAGGCGAGTTTACCGCGTTGGTGCACATATCCTGTCTGTGTGATATTCCATGCTTTTGCTCAACATACTTGAACTTTATTGAATAATATTGTACTAATGGCGTTTGCTGTGACTGAACTGAGCTTCCAAGAGTAGTATTTGCACATACTGAGCTTGAGTTGGAGATGCTTCTCACTCACATACCATATACATATCCCGGTACATATTTGAGAGGTCAGATGTAACAGGAAAGTAAAGAAAATCGATAGCTACAGTGGTATCAATGGTGAAAATATTCTTTAAGAAGGGTTTACGAATTCTCCGTTATGGTGTGTCACATAGGTGTATCGCGGTAGAATTCTATATATCATCTTTGTTTCCGCTTTCCATACACCAGAATATGCATATAGTGATTACGTTTGTTCCACTTGAGTTTAAGCCAAAGCAAGTAACGTGTGTGACTTGTCCATGTGTAAACATTTTGTCTAAAACCTACGTACACCTGCTCCTATCAGTGCTGTCAGACTGTCAGGATTTTAATCGAGAATTAGCAATCAAGTACTATTTAGTGAGTTAATAGATAGGTGACGTCCAACGTAAGTTCAAAGACTCATGTTATGCGCCCAGGTGACATGGCTGATTTAACATGAGTTGGATCTCAACGCTGCGTTTTCCTGTATTACACCAATTCCGCTTATTGGTATCCGCTTGTTGCTGATTACCAATCACGTCCATAACTGATGCAACGAGGGTAGCCTTTTCAGCTGGCATGGTAAACATGGCGTCGTTCGACGGCAATTTCTCAGCTGTCGGTCGAACACTGAAATGGGCTTTCAGTAACAGAGTAGTGCAAACAATTGTAAAACCAATGCTAGCGTTCGTCATTTGTGCTGTTCAACGCAACCTTCAGGTGAAATCTCAATGGTGGAATTGACTGAACCTCCTTTTGCAGGGAATATCAGTGCAAGTTGGTATCGCATTTCGTAACTCTTATCCATTACGAGTTCCCTGAATAAACTAAAACTTCTGAGCTTGCCTTGTCCCATGCCTAAAGTCACCTATCTTTATGGGTGTCCAGGATTTGGTCCCGGATCACGTAGCTAGTTGCAATCAGACTACCTTGCATGGTAGCTCATGCAGATAAAGTACGCTCACCTGATCTCTCGCCATGTCATGAATTAGGCCGGATGGGCTAATAAAAGTCTTGTCGGAAGACTAGTACGACCAAAACGTACCATGCACTGCATCTAGGAGTCCGATAAAGGTTACTCAACGTATAAAGTGGCAAAAAGGAGCGCTTTGTATACCTTGATGGATTACCGGGTTAAGGACTGAAGCAAGGCATACGTGGCCGCTAACTTGCTGTTGCCCTTGCACAACCCCTCTGTTCACGGGCAAGGAGGTTGATTCAAGAAGTTATTGTTCGTGTTGATAGTACAATGCTAGGTTTCTTAATCTAGTGAACGAAAAAACATCTTTGATTCTCAATTATGCAAAGAACAGCGTATGTATATTTGTACACAGAATTTGAAAATATGGTTGGCGGCATCCGGTTTCGGATTTGCCTGTCACTGTGGCAAGCCACAGGACGCCTGCGCCTACAGAGAGACCATGGATGGCTTGCGCTGCACCACCCACAGCCCCAGCCATATACCCCATATCCAGTGTAAACCCGAAGGAATAAGACCGGGAGGCATGCGGATGGGAACCACGTTTCATCAACGGAGCCGGCCCACACTCCTTCACAGGCAAACACAAGCACGCTGTGTTTGGGGAAATCAAGCGCACACAAGGCGGTGGCTGGACCGTTGTCCGCTCCACACTGCGTGAATGGAACCACTCTTTGATCCTAACACGGCCACAAGGACCGTGCACGCCATCCCCTCCAGCAACGACCAGTTGTCTCCTAGATCCAGTATGGATGAGGTATTTGGTAACAGACAGGCAGGCACCTTGTCAACATGCACATCAAGCGCATCCACACCGGGGATATCAAACAACAGCCAAACACTTGAGAGAAAGAAAAATAGAAAAAACTCGATTAATGCATAAGGAAACGGTGATATAAACATTAATTAAATAGCCTATGTAATAAGTTGTTCACAAACAAATCCTAGCTAAGCGCATGAGGTCAGGAAATATAGTTCACGTAATGCCACCAACACAAATATGCTACGGAAATTGAATACAACTGGCTTAGGCGAGGTGTGTAAGTTAATGAAATAGAGTACTGGTAGACATTTATATGAGAAAGAAAAGCATTAGGCACAAACTGTGAACCCACCACCTGAAATAAAGAGACTTAGCATGCAAGTACGCGGTTAGTAAATCGAATTCAGCGTGCCTACAAACGCTGCGCCGGCTCGCCGTAATTCTCTGCAGGACCCGTCGTCGCTTCTGTAGTGGCCCCAAAGGACCTAGCTCATGGCCTACTAAACATTTATATGAGAAAGAAAGGCATTAGGAGAGAATCGCAAACCCACCACCTGAAATAAAGAGACTTAGCATGCAAGCACGCGGTTAGTAAATCGAATTCAGCGTGCCTACAAACGCTGCGCCAGTGCTGCCTACGTTCACTGCGGGACCCGTCGGCGCTTCGGCAGTGGTCCCGAGTGACCTCTCTCATGGCTCACTAAGCCTGACTGACTAAGGCACTCGCGACCGCATGTTCTACAGCACCATGCGCTCGATGTCGATGGAGTACAATCCATCGGTGCTTGCCGCTTCCGCACTTGCCGCTTCTTCTCTGCATACATGAGGGCTTTCTCCCGC